TCAATTCTGGCTTAACATTCGACCCACATGTGCAGCATACTGTCAAAACATATTTTTTTTCACCTCAGAAATATCGCTAGACTACGCCCTATGCTATCATTAACTGTGGCTGAAAAGCTGTGTTCTGTGTTCTCTCAAATTGACTACTGTAATGCTCTACTCGCTGGGGTATCTTAATCTACTCTGAACAAACTGCAGTATGTCCAAAACTCAGCAGCCAGAATCCAAGTGCAAGTATTCACATTACTGCTATCCTGGAGTCCTTGCACTGGCTTCCGGGCAAATTCTGTGTAGACTTTAAAATCCTCATGCTCACCTATAAGGCATTGCATGGCTTGGCACCTCAGTACCTGTCTGAACTATTATCGCCCTACTCCCCACATCGCAACCTTCGCTCTTCTAATTCTGCTCTCCTTCCTGTCCCAAAAGCCCGTCTACATTGTATGGGTGACAGGGCCTTCTCCTGTTATGCCCCCAAGCTCTGGAACTCTCTCCCCAAGGATATCAGAGCGTCACCTTCTCTACACTCCTTCAAATCCAGACTCAAAATCCTCTTCTTCAGAAAAGCCTTTACTTAACTGGTTCCATTCTTCACCCCTCTGCTTTTCTTAGTACCACCATCCACGGTCTCCTCTATATATTGTAATTGTGTTTTATCTTGTGTACTCTTCTTATTTATTGTTGTTGTCATCCTGTAAAGCACTTTGAGAAGCCACCTTTAAAGGTGCTATATAAAAAAAGTGTATTATTGTTATTGTACAAGTGTTTATGTCATTATTATTGTAGAAGCGGTTATGTCTTATTGAGAAATCATTTTTGTTTTGAAGTATGAATGGTCTGATGATAAAACAGATATTCTTTCAATATTCAGGAGTATAATTTGAATTTCTTTATATACTAGAATTGGTGTTATTACCCATCACTAATTGCTTTATGATAACTCAATACTGCCCCCTTGCAGTCAAAGGAATTGACAAGTTTATTTCTTATTTGAGTACATGTTATAGCTAAATATTTTACTCAGAAATCTGTTTCAAAATTAATTTTCTATTTCTTTGGAAACATTTATAAGATACCTTTGATGTGTTCAATAAAAATTGAGCTATGGCACACAGCTAAAGAGCAGTTCAAAATATCACACATCAAAGACCACATTAAAAGACAATATGAAAAAGCAATATAAATTTGGAATTTATTATTATTGTTAATGCTTTGATTTTCTCAAAAATGTAAACATAGCAGGAAAACAACCCAAATAAACCTACCAACTTGCTGAAAATCAGACAGAAAGTAGTTTTAGAGCTCTATAAGCACTTTTGTTACTGATGCTCAGTAAATACTTGTGTAAACAGGTTTTAGCATTTAATATAACAGACATTTTTTCTTTAGTTAAGAACAGTTCTGAAGGTTTGTAGATAAGAGGGCACTCCTAGTTCTACAGAAAGCTTTCAAAGGTGGGTTGAAAAGGAAGTCTCCCTCCTATCTTTCCTTAATTAGCTTATTTGTGGAATTTGCTTGTTGTTTTCCTGCTTTTGTACTCCATGTAATCACCACAATTGCAAGCTTCACCTCTTGGCCAAATTCAAGATAATGTACAAAGGGGATAATGTACCCTCACCCTGGCATCTTCAGACACAGCTGACATATAGCCATAATTGCACGGTTAAAGTTAAAAGTGCATTCATAATTGGAAGACAAACTATTAACAATTTAGACTTGAAATGGTGAAACATGAACTCTGCCGAATGATTAAATTCACAACAAAGCAAAGGAATGCATTATAAGTCATCTACAAAATTGTCTATCTTTTATGGCAAGGATAAATAGCAATATTAACAACTGAAATATTAACAATCAGGTCCAAGTACTTTTAAGGGGATTTTATAGGACTGTATGAACAGCTATGCATTCTTAGTTCCCCTGTCTGAAAATATTGGGCACAGGGAAAATGGTGGTCCTTTCAATTGCTATACTGTATGCCTGAATTAAAAATGTGTTCATTCTGGGTGGCTTGATTGCATATCATGGGATCTACAGTATATGTGTAAGTGTTATATGAAACTGGAAATAATTATTCTCTGTGTACATTTGTTTACCCATAGTAATTAGGTCATTTATTAAGATACAGACACTGTAACTGTCCAATGCATGTATCATTAATTGTACTTGGTTATACAGTATGTAATTTGTTGTCTCCTTTTCTTCAGTAACTGAACAAAATGTTAAAGGGGGAGCTTTATTTGCAATATACAGTATATATAGAAAAATTAACTATCTAAATATTTTAGAAATGCCAGTTCCCGAGACCTGCAACAACTTTTATGTAATTTGATATTCTACTAACCTAAAGCTTTTCATAGGTCAGGAATACTGACAAAAAACAGGTATCCTGTTTTGTACAGTTTCACTTACTGCACATGCCTCATCATACAGTATGTTATACAACCTATTCTTATCCAGAACCTTAGCTAAATATTTCTGATTTTACATGAAAGTCCTTATGCATATGATTATAAAGACACTATTTATTATGTGTTAATTTAATTTTTGTACAGAACATGTACTGTATTTGGTATACATTATGGCATTTTAAAAACCCTAGAAAGTAGAAAGTAATTTCTGAATTCTGTATTTAATGAGAATACCATACTGATGCTTCAAATATTTCTGTCGAACAAAAAGTACTTAAATATTTTAGACTTTGTTATTAATTTAAGTGGCTTAATTGTGAAAGTTATATGATACAATTTATACGCGTACTGTGTTGATCAAATAAATAAACTTAGCTCTTAATTAACAATTCCTTTTGTTACAAATAGTGTAACCTCATGTTTTGTAGGATTAAATGTTAAATTAGTGCAGACAAAATGTAAACTAGTTGTTTAACTTAAAAAAGTTAAAGATAAAAATAATGATAAATTGTCATTTTATGTATCTTTATTAAGTTGATAAAGAATCTTTGATTTCCTTGTTATCATTAGAAATGTATACAAATAAACACTGAAAGGGAAAAAAAGCCTTATTATGATTGAAAATTGGTAAGAGTCCCAGGATAGCATTCTTTTTTTTTTCCAAGAGAGAAGCCCATTGTAAAAATGTGCATATAAGTAGGTAGTGATGAAGCAGGTATTTCTTTGGAGTCATTGTGTGGGTCTGTAAGCGAATGCCCTTTGAACAATGACACGGCAAAATTCTGGAATTCAATGCCCCTGCATTCTCACTACACACTAAATTAAAGTCACAAATGTCAGAGAATGCAGAAAACAAATCCATCATCTTTTGTCCCTGAAAAATTCCATCGTTTAACACTTGGCAACAGGGGCTTTGGGAAGCAGAGAGTTTCTGTGTCAGTAATGTCACAGAGGCTCACATTACGAGACAGCAGTGAATGGTTTCCAAGGGGCTTCTAGGTAGAGGAATTTGTAAAGGCATCACGGCAAGCTTTTAAAAGCAACGAAGAATCCTTGTGCTGGGGTCACAAAATGAATTAAATAGCTTATAAATAAGACTGTGGAATCTGTTTGGGTAAATAACAGCCCATCTAATTCATAAGAATATTGAACTAGACAAATTATATACTCTAAAAATGATGCTGGTTTTAATTTGAGTTTGCTCCTTACTGTATTAACAATAGACTACATTTAATATTATTATTCAGGACTCTTTGATGAAAGGATTATGGAAAAAGAATGTTTGATTTAAATGGTGCTGATGCAAGAAACATTTTTGTTAAAACTCTTTTCTCTCCAAAGAAAGGCGATTTCAACACCACAAAGATGCAGATCTCCTGAGAGAATGCATGTACAGTACAGTAATGCAAATATTAGACAAGCCTTTGTTCTTGTACAGTACTTTGAAAACAAATGAAAACAGCTTTCCATAGCACTAGTTATGGCCAAGTCTTTATTCTTAAAAGTAGTTAATTCCATTGTTGTTGGTAATTGCTTTATCCTTCTTAACAGCTGTTTTATTTTATCTCAGCCTTAGATCAGAACTAATTGATCTACCACAACGTTAGGTATGAACTTTTATTTTTGGTGTCTGATAGGAACTGAAAATGAATGGGGTGAGACCAGTATTCTTGACTGAAATCTGAAGATGTTTTTCCAAAAATCCTTTACTGAATGTTCATTCATTCCTTGTAAGAAAGTAATCAAGTTTCACAAACTACAGTAAGGACAGCACGTACTAGACAGCCACATGCTCTCTTCATTGTAAGATTCTATAAAGAATAATAATAAGGTAACAAAATTAGGTTTCCAGTATTAATTTTACAAAACAGAGACAACATTTGTTTTAGGACAACTGTTATTTGCCATTAACATTACATTACCATCAAAGCCAAGCTTCAAATGTTTTAAGACACAAGCAAAGTGCACAATGATAAGTAAACGTTCACAACATTGTATTCTAATAGTGTAATCTACTGTATATCCCTTTAAATTTGTCTTTCTCAGCATGTAACAGAGTGAGATAAACTACACTGCAGTACATCACGATTACACCACTATTTGCAGCTAATGAGGTTCCCTGTTCACTTCACCACAAAGAGAAAAAAATGTAATCACACTTTTTATGTGATAAAATAGACACTCATAGATGGCTTGGGATTTATGTGACTGCAAGAACAAAAAAAACACAGAATAGTATTAAATCACACACAACTATCTCTGACAGCTTGGCCTAATGCATGGCTGATGCAGACAGCCAAGTGGGAGGTTGATACAGGTTGATATATACACGAATGATTAGAAAGACAGTGGGAAAAGTGAATTCCATTTATTCCTAAGGTGCTCATTTTACATACAAGAGCTCTATATACTGTGTGCTTAAAGTAAAAATGAAATACTTGATCAGTTTGAAGGTTGATTGATGCCTTAAGGTTGCTACTGATGCCTTCACCCAAACCTTTAAGGAATCTGAATGCTAAATGCAGAAATTTTGCCCATGTGCATGTGATTATTGCATAATGAGCTTCTGATTTTATTTTTTATACTCACAGCACTTTCCAGATTTTGGTCCAGATGTTCCAGCTGCTGCTCAATCTCTTTCAGCCGACTCTCTTGACCCCGTATCTCCTTCATGTCCTGAAGAACCTTCTCTCCTGGCAGTGTGTCCCTGTAGTCATCTAAAGCAGTCCCAGGACCCTAACAATAAACAGACACCTCTTTTTCTTAAAGGGGTCATACTTTCAATATTAACATGAAAAAAAGAATGAGATGAAACTTGGGATTTAAGTTACTTCATCATATCTCCCTTTATGCATAATTGAAAAGTTTTTCTTTTCATTTCTTAAGATTAAGACATAGTGTACAGTCAGTTCCAGTTGACTTTGAAGAAACCCAGGACAGATTGTAAGATGGACAAAACTAGAGTTTCTTTTTGTTCCTAATTACCACACTTTTCTAAATCTAACTTTCTGGACCTGGGTTTCCAGGAAAAAGATCTCTCTAGATTTTGCTATAAACTAGTTATCAGTTCCAAGGCATTTAAATAAGGAATGTTTGGTCAGTTGAGGATGACTTCAGTTATAAAATACCTGCCCTCAAATGTAATACATGGTCATAATACTTATTTTTGCTTTTTATCATTATTTTAATGTTTCCTCTTCAACATTTGAAGAGATGAAACCCCATTTAGGCCTGATTACTTCTATTAGGTATAGAAACAAAATAAATCAAATAATATGACTAAAGTTTTTGATACATTAAGGCTGTATTTTGCATTGAGCACAATTTCAGAAATATAAGAAACAAGAGCAGAAAAGGATCACTTCTCTGGTTGCTTCAAGGCTTGAAATTGACAAACCATAAGGAATAGAAAAGCTTTCTGTGATTATTTGTGATGCTATGATCTGTTATAGACTAAGATGAATAACAATTTCTCTTGTACAGACATGAGCCCAGATTCCAGTCAGCATTATTAGCAAGCTCAGCCTGAACATTCCAACACAATTTACTCCAGGTCACATTTCATGTAAACAAGTCATTAGACTTGTCACATGTTGTGCAACTGGTGCTGTTAGAGATCCTAATTCTGACAACTGAATAAACAGTTAAATATAAAAGAGCTTTTGGTAAACGAGTAATCTGCTTTTCTATGCCAAACTACTTGTCTTACAATTTAAATAAAAGTATATATTAAAAAATTGGAAGAGAACTGTTATGATTTAACGATCCCAATTGACAAACAGCATGGGCCCTACAACCATAGATCACTGTTCTGATTTTGAAAGAATATAATTAGCTCCCAAACAGCTATGCTTGATTGGAAGAATGCTGCCAGGGTTAAGTGAGTTTTAAGTCAGCTAGGGTTTCTACGATTCACTGTGCACTGAGTCTTAAAGTACTGGTACAAAACCAAGGTCCAAGTCATGAGTTGAGCTGCCCAGTTCCAGGGTATACAAAATAAAAACACTTGTGATTAAAAAAAACACAACAAATAAAGGATTGTTCTGGGTTAATGAAATATTCATTGGTGAATACTAGTTCCAAATATTAGATAGTAAATGATGTGGGCCTATGGTATAGCCAAACTATGTACTCTATGGAAATAATAGAGATAATTCCTGTATACAGCAGCATTTTCAGCAAAATAATTATTTAGCCAATAATTCTATCAGGAATGATAAAAACAGAAAGGAACGTTACAATATTTTTGTCATTCAACAGGGATATACCAGATTGTGTATGGATTGCTAAGGGGTGCTTTGAGAATGGTTTGATCATTCTGCAGGTTACAAGATTCTTGTGCATGATACATGTATTCCACATGCTGAGTACATAACCTAGTAAGTGTAATTCTAAATGCATATAAACATTCAGAAATTCCAATTTGTATAGATAAGATAGTTAAATAAGAAGACAGGTTGCACAAAATAATGACATAAAAAACAGACATTCTCATTTGTCAGGAGTACAACATAATTTCTCATTCATACAGTAGCAGACACAACAAAACCATTCTACTGTTTATGCTTCGCTTCTAACCACACAAGCAATCTCACTTTTCCCAGGATATTATTGACAACCCAAGCATACTCTACATTTGAAATTTGTTGTTAGATATCATTCATCTTTAAATACCATGGACTTCAAGTAGTGTGAATGATGATAGGCCTGAATCAGCCTGTCATAAATATGGTTAACCTTGTGTTCTGGAACAGTTCCTGAACAAAGAATATGTTGACATAATTGGGCAAAACAATCTGTAAAATCTAGTTTTATTGCCCGACTTGTGCCACTAACTATAGGTTCCTCAGCAAAAATCTGTTTTTGGGACAAAATAATATTGTTTTATTTGCTTTTTTTAAAGAATCCAGCTTCTCCACTGACAACAGAAGCCAGCCTCTTAAAAAATATACATTAAAGTTTGACGTCATTTTCTTGCCTAGATTATTTTTAAAATAATTGATGATTTCTTATTTTGTGTATTTTGTCAGAAGGTTTTTTCAACATTCTTTTGTGATTGTTCAACCAAAGTAGAAAATAGCCAAGCCAGGGGATATCCTGGCATTATATAATTTCATGTAATTTAGGAGATAGCTATATTTATCTGCTAGCAAAGAGTTTAAGCTAAACAGTTGATTTCTCAATTTGAAATACGCACTTATCTGACCAAAATTACAGCCTAAGCCTAAGGCACTTGAAATAACCATTTAAATGGAGTGGGAGGGTCTCTGGGTATCCATGAGTCTTGACTTTCACACAAGGATTCACATTTCTGCCTTGCATCGCTACAGTATATTTGGCCAGTCTTGCTTATTTACAATTTCTTCCCATTAGGTTTCTGCGTATGGGGTAGTAGGAATGGGGCTTAACCACTGAGCCAATGAAAAACAAAACAAGGGATGAATTAAAGGAGGGAGGGCTGCTAAGGAGAAAAAATACAAAATAAAATTATGTAGAGAGCTTTTAGGAAATTCTGACTTTCGGCCCTTTGTTTTACAAAGAATGCATAAATTAGGCCAAATACTTCTTAGAATAGCACTATCTGTGTGTGGCTATAATAAAGAAATATTGGGATAAAGAAATGAAAAAATCTGAACAAAGATTTGTAGAATTCATTTTTGTTATTTTAAATTAAATAATATTTCAAATACTTGTTCTGGAAGAGCAGAAAGTACCAATCAGGCACTTAGCTGAGAAGAAAACCAGGAGACACAGGGATCCTCCAGGACCCATCTTAAAAACACCTGCTGCAGCAAATGTCTGGATATGCATGTGAAGAAAGCATTCAGCCTTGTTAAAAAGAAAATGACATCATTGAACTCTAAACTTTGGACAAGCCTGGATATTGCTATGTGTCACGCAGATAAATCTGGCATACCCTGAAATATGTCTGTGCTGCCAAAACAAAAGAGGCAGCAAATGACTGCCAATGGTGCTTGATTCATATACCTACAGTATACAGTACCTTCAGAATGCCCTGACACTTTTACATGTGAACTTGACACAGATCTATATACTAATCTAAAGGGATTACTCAAAATGAAACAATATGCAGGACTTTGCATTTATCCAGATTATTATTATTAAATCATGATAGATAATTTATTTTATAACTGATAGATAATTTCCATAAGTAATGCAGTACACTGTAGGTGCACTGTAATGATGCATTTGGATCAATCAGCACCTGCCAACTATCCATCTCGTGTTAATCATTCTAAAAAGTCAACAACTGCTAGGCCATGACCTTAATAAACACTAGCTAATGTTGTTCTAATCCCCTGCTTTTTTGGCTGCTGCTACTGCTTCAGATCTGATTCTAGTTAAGATGGAACGTGCAAAAATTGAAACATGAAACATAATATGAGGTCAAAGAGAATCATTCATGACTGTCAACTATGGCCACTGCTCAGGTTAGCAACTTGCCAAGCCTTCCACTTTGCAAATAATTATATTATTATTATTGCTATTATTATTATTATTATTATTATTATTATTATTATTATTATTGTTGTTGTTGTTGTTGTGGGGAGTGCCAAACCAGTCTGTATTTTTACTAAAGCTACGTCAGAACACATTAGGGTCAAGTTATAAAAAGCAACTTGTAGAAACAGTACAGAGGACAAGGCTGCCATAACTGGCATCATCCAATTACTCCACCCATAAAAACCACAGGCAAAGCTGTCTATTCTCTGTTACTGGCCTTTATACAAACTCTCACAATATAGCCTTAATGTGATCCAGCTGCCAAAATAATTACTATAGACCATATATGTGTGTGTGACCAATATACTTGGACAAAAATCTGTGCTTAAATAATTCTGGAATGACCACAGAAGCTCTTACATTAGGGTTTCCCTCAAGCTGGTTGTGGTCTACTTTCATAACAGGTTTCGTAGCATCTAATATATCTGCTTTTTCCCTTTGGTGGAAACAACTTTTTTCCTTTTAATTACCATTCTGTTTTCATATTACTGTTTGTTTAGCTTGTTAGCTCTTTTCTATATGTTTTGAATGAATTGTGGAATACAATACAATTGTGGAATACAAATACTTGAAATATTACTAGTTTATCAAATCCAATATTTTCGTTCTTAATAGTTGAAAACATATTTATGGTCTTTTCTCATTTATTTTAGTTTTATCATAACAATGGACAATTCCAGACAAAGGGTTTCCAAAGGAGCTCTAACAAATGAAAAACAGCACACTAAGTTCTCTTTCGGTGATAATCAAATCATTTAAAACTAAATGTAATATCTAATATTTTTTAATTTCAAAGAATTGCTTCAAATGAGCTCCTTAAGAGTTGGTCATGACAATTCTAGGATATAGTGCAGCACAAACCTCACAAAATGCAAAATTATACTTGAACCAAAAATAATATATATATGAGGCCTGGGTGCTCTGAACTGCAAAAGAACTGCCAGATCATGGCAATAATGTAAAAAGATCCATTTGACAGAGTGTTATATGTCTGTGCTTTAATATGGGGCCCATCTGTCTTCTATAGACATACTGTACTTGCCAGAAACAACTGTAGCAAAACTGCTCATTGCAACATTATCACCACTGTGTTAACCATAGGAACAAGAAGTCGGCTAATTAGAACGTTTCCTACAGAAAGTTATCACAGGTGAAATATATCATAAGACTTTTATCTTTTAAATTTTTTTTTGTCTTATACCTATTTGTGT